AGCTATTTTATATTAGGGGAGGTACTAAATCTTGAAATCTAGTGTGTACTCTAATAGTCTTAGTGCATCTTTAACTGGACAAGCCTGTTTGAAGTGCTTAATAGCCACACTTGGCTAGCAGTTGCAGTATTGGGTGGGGCAGATCTAGAGACTGAAGGAAATGCTTATTTGGAACTGTCTACCAGAACACATGTGTCTTTGTTACCAGATTCAGGTCATTGGGTCCAGGGACCAGAAAGTTCTTGGTCTCATTGGAGAAAGAATTCAAGGACAGACACAGAGGAGATGTAAATAGAAGCAGGTTTATTAATGCAAAGCAAAATAAAAGCACAGCAAGAGCAACTCTTCAGACAGGAGAGTTGGCAGGAGGTCCCAAGTCCTCAAGCTTTTACTGGGGTCTGTCCTGGTAAACTGGGTAAATATGTCAGTAACTTTGGGAGTACTGGGTTATGTGCCATCAACTCCTTCCACATGTTGGGCAGAGAAGAACTTGGCCTTAGATGGGCAGAGTCAGAGCTGACATTTTTCACAGGGTGTGGGACTCCAGGTCAGGAAGACCCTGCTGTATGTCACAAGTCATTCCATTAATGTTAGCAGTCTAGAATGTATGTCCTTATCAACATCCTAGCCATGGTTCTAAGCCATCAGGTTTCCTAACTCCTTGCCTAACTCCTCTCTCAGCTGGGGCTACTCAGATTCCTCATGTGAAAGGTCAATGCTTCAACACTAAGTGTTCCTGTGATTGAGGTTGATGCTTGCCATGAACTAGCCTCAGCAGTCACACGGCATACGCTAATAGCTAAATAGTTACAAGTCCTCTCAGTTTCAAGGGGAAGAGAACATAAACTCTTCTGCTTGACAGGAGGGGAGGTAAAGAATTTTTGGCCATACTATTTTGTTATATTATTTGTGACAGGGTTTTGCTGTGTAACCCAGGGCTAGCCTTGAATTCAACAATCTTCCTTCCTCTGTCTCCTAAATGTTGGGATTACAGAAATGTACCACCACACCCAAGTAAGTGGCCATATTTTTAAAGTGAAAGGAGTTCCTTAAAACATACTTGAGTTAATGAAGTAACTTTTACTTAAGACTAGAGGCTGGATGCCAGGAAATCCACCATTATATGATTGAAACTCCCTCCCCCCTCAAAAAAAATTCCTGGTAGGGGAGAGAAGCTGGAGATTGATTTGCTCAATCTTGCTTATGTAATGAAGCTTCTATAAAAATCCCAAAGTATGGGATACAGAGAGCTTCAGTGTTAGTGAATAAGTGGAGACAATTGGGAGGGTGTCACACCCCTTCACCATGCCTTGTCCTAGGCAATGTGAAAATAAAAGAAAATTTATAATAAAAAACATTAAAAGAGCTTTTCAAGATGGAGCCAGGAGGCCAAAAGGACTTGACTACAAGTCCAGCTGCTGCCTAGGAACTCAGGTTGACATTCACCTTGGCTACAGGCAACTACAACAGATAATTACAATAAGCCCAGAGACTCAAGATGCATATCAAAAGATTATCGAGCCTTTGTTTTGTGAATATTTTTTACTAGATTTGAACTCAGGGCTTTGTGCTTGGTAGGCTAGCTTTCTGCTGTTTGAGCCACAACCCCAGCCCTTTTTTGCTTTAGTTATTTTTCAAATAGGGTCTGGCACTTTTGCCCAGAACCACCTGGATTGCAATCATTTATAGTGCATGCCACCAAGCCTGACTTACTGATTGAGATGGGATCTTACTAACTTTTTGCCTGACTGGCCTTGAGCGCCATTCTCCTAATCTCCATCTTCTGAGTAGCTGGAATTATAGGTGTGAGCCACCACATCTGGTTGTTTTCTTTATTTTCTATTGGTCACATAGTTCCTATCACACAACACCTATTCTCAACTCCCAAAGAACTTTCCCAACAAAAGAATTTTTACTGTAATAAATCAGCACTATTTGTTCAGTATAAGCTCTCATTTCTTTACCTTCCTCAGAACACAAGTTTAGAGCTATCCAAATCTGTGTCTCACCAAATTGCAATTCCAATGTTACCAGACTGCTCTCCATTTGAAAGCCAATAATCAGAAGAGAAGAGTTGGTAAAAAAGAATCAGGGGAATTTAAGGGCTGGCACCTTGACAGAGAGGGGCTCCAGCTCAAAGCTCCATCTTAGGGCACTCAGTGCAAAGGGCTTTAGGGAGAGGGAGGAGAGCTGGGAAGGAATTCTACATGCTGAGCCGGGTCTTCCTCATTCGGGGTACATGTCTTCTTTTTAATTCTCCTTTGGAACATGGCAATGGACCTCAACCTCTTGGAGCTAGTTCCTGTAGTTCTTTTTAGTCAGACATATTACTTTTCTTCAAGCTAAATCTCACAGCAATTACTTTGTATTAGTTTGGATGCACAGAATTAAAAGAACAGTGAAGGAGTTCTATATTCTGACATTATCTGAAAGCCACTAGATACACTGGGTTCTGTAAACCCAAAGAAAGATGTAGCAGTTACAATCTTAACCCTTTGGGTGGGGTTTCTCTTCAGAGTTTAGAATGCAGGGCAGAGGGGAGGGGGCAGAACCTTTCGAAAGAATTGAAGGGAAGCAACTTTGCAGAAGGGCAAGGGAGGGGGAAGTGAAAGTAACTCAGCCAAGGAAAACTCCCAAAGGAGTGGCCACTGTTACCTAAGACCCCAAATAAAGTCCTTTTTGCCTTTTTTTAGTTTTTGAACTGACCAATAGCATCTTTTCCATCTGGCTGTTTATGAGTCCTAACCTTTATTTAAATAAAAAAAAAAGTCAATAAGCTGTTCTAGAAAAATACGCAACCTGAGGAGGGAAATTGGAGATCTTCTGACTTGCAATAAGAAGTTGTGGCAATCTGTTCATCAAAGGAAATGGTCTCTAAACTGAAGAGAACACCCACCGAGTGGGAGAAAATATTTGCCAGCTACACATCAGACAAAGGACTGATAACCAGAATATATAGGGAACTTAAAAAACTAAATTCTCCCAAAACTAATGAACCAATAAAGAAATGGGCAAGTGAACTACACAGAACTTTCTCAAAAGAAGAAATTCAAATGACCAAAAAACACATGAAAAAATGCTCACCATCTCTAGCAATAAAGAAAATGCAAATTAAAACCACGCTAAGATTCCACCTCACCCCTGTTAGAATAGCCATCATCAGCAACACCACCAACAACAGGTGTTGGCAAGGATGCGGGGAAAAAGGAACCCTCTTACACTGCTGGTGGGAATGTAAACTAGTACAACTACTCTGGAAAAAAATTTGGAGGCTACTTAAAAAGCTAGACATTGATCTACCATTTGATCCAGCAATACCACTCTTGGGGATACACCCAAAAGACTATGACACAGGTTACTCCAGAGGCACCTGCACACCCATGTTTATTGCGGCACTATTCACAATAGCCAAGTTATGGGAACAGCCAAGATGCCCCACTACTGACGAATGGATTAAGAAAATGTGGTATCTATATACAATGGAATTCTATGCAGCCATGAAGAAGAACGAAATGTTATCATTCGCTGGTAAATGGATGGAATTGGAGAACATCATTCTGAGTGAGGTTAGCCTGGCCCAAAAGACCAAAGATCATATGTTCTCCCTCATATGTGGACATTAGATCAAGAGCAAACACAACAATGGGATTGGACTTTGAGCACATGATAAAAGCGAGAGCACACAAGGCAGGGGTGAGGATAGGTAAGACACCTAAAAAACTAGCTAGCATTTGTTGCCCTTAACACAGAGAAACTAAAGCAGATACCTTAAAAGCAACTGAGGCCAATAGGAAAAGGGGAACAGGAACTGGAGAAAGGTGAGATCAAAAAGAATTAACCTAGAAGGTAACACCCACGCACAGGAAATCAATGTGAGTCAATGCCCTGTATAGCTATCCTTATCTCAACCAGCAAAAACCCTTGTTCCTTCCTATTATTGCTTATACTCTCTCTACAACAAAATTAGGAATAAGGGCAAAATAGTTTCTGCTGGGTATTGAGGGGGGGAGAGGGAGGGGGCGGAGTGGGTGGTAAGGGAGGGGGTGGGGGCAGGGGGGAGAAATGACCCAAGCCTTGTATGCACATATGAATAGTAAAATTAAAAAAAAAAGAAAAAGAAAAAAAAAAAGATGTTGTGGCAAACCTGGAGACCCACTACTTGTGAATGACATTTGAAGAGGAGGCACATTTGTAGGGCTGAGCCTGTGACCTATGGAGTTTGTGCTATGCCCAGGCATTGACAGTGATAGAAGATTTTGAGAAGAAACTGGGGCTTTTCTTTCAAGTAGTAATAAGATTCTAGATATGTTTTCGAAGGTAGAGTCAAAAGCACTTATTAATGCACTGGATGTGAGACAAAAAAAGATGTCAAATATAGCTCCAGCACTGTGAGAGTCACCACATGGCCATATTTACGAGTGACAGTTATCTCTATTGGGCCCTGGGTTTTGGGGGGTTTTTTTTATTGTTTTTTTTGGTGCTAGGGTTTGAACTCAGGGCCTTCACCTTGAGCCACTCCACTAGCCCTTTTTTGTGATGGGTGTTTTCAAGATAGGGTCTCGCCAACTATTGCCTGTTGCTGGTTTCTGGGCCTGGTTTCAAACCGCTATCCTCCTGATGTCTGCCTCCTGTGTAGTTAGGATTACAGGCATGAGCCCCATGTTTATAGGTTACTGGTTATTTAAAGGTACTTAAGTCCTAAGGAGGTGGAAATAAAGCCTTCTCTGGTTTGGAGGATTAAAAAATCTCCTAGAAGGAAGAAACCATCTTAAAATATTTACTTCCTTTGCCCATATCCATTTAGGATAGTTTAGGAACTCCTTAGGGACAGTCCAAATCATCTTTGTGCTCACTTCCTATTGCATTCTGGGCCCTCTACTTCCTGTTGCATTTTCAGCCTTGTTCCCTCTTTTAGAACTAGCATGTTGAATATTATATAGCCAAAGGACAGCATTCCGAAGTCTGTCCTGTGACTTCCTGATCCTCCTCCTTTTATAAATACAAGGGCAGGCCAGAGAGTCAGGGAACAGTGAGCCCAGGTGCCCCCAGGCCAGCTCTGCCTGCCCACTGGGAGGATGGAGATCTCCGTGGCTGCCCTCTCCTTCCTCATCCTTGCTGCTGCCTTTGGATCCCAGGCCCGGGTCATACATGGTGAGTCCATTGGACCTTCTCCAGTGGCCAGGTCTATGGTAACTTGGGGTTTGAGGAGGAGATGTAGAGGGACAGCACTGCCCTCCTATGAATACACACCATCTCAGCCCTGCCTCTGCCTGAAGCCTTTGGTCCTTGAGGAAAACGCTACACGGGTGATTGGTCTCATTTGGGGACAATTATTTCCCTTTTCATGGCCTGAATTGTTTCATACATTCCCTATTAAGTACTAGAGTGAAAGGACTGTAGTGAAATGGTAAATCTGTGGGAAGAAGCCTAGAATTCTATGTTAGAAGTGTTATGTAGGATCTAACACAAATCTATCATTTTGCAGAGGAAGTGGGACCAGCCAGGCAAGTGACTCAGCCATGGTCACCTATCTTTTTAATCTAATAAATCCATATCTAGCACTTTCTATGTGCCAGGCAGCCAGTGACCTTAGTGACTTACAGAAGCTGACACACTGATTCCTCCTAGCAACCATGTGGAAGTAACTACTATGTTTAGCAATGTGAATTTGCCATTTTTGTAGGGAAAACAGTAGGACATCAGTAATGTTATGTACTGGTGCCTGGTAGTATTGCTTGTTCTCATTTTACAAATGAGAAAAAAGAGGCATGGAAACCTTAGGTAACTTGCTTAAGATCACACAGCAAAGCCAGGTGCTGGGAACTCACGCCTGTAATCCTAGCTACTTGGGAGGCTGAGATTGTGAGGATTGCAGTTGAAGGCCAGGCCCATGCAAAAAGATCTTGAGACCCCATCTCAACCAATAGCTGGGTGAAGCGTACGTCTATCATCCCAAGCTATGTGGTCAGAAGGATCATGGTTCTAGGCCAGCCTAAGCAAAAACTAAGACCCCATCTCAATGGGAAAAAAAGCTGGGCATAGTGGCACATACTTATCATCCCAGTGGGAAACATAAAATAGGAAGAACATGATCCAGACTGGCCTGGAAAAATAAGAAAAAGACCCTATCTCCAAAATAACCAGAGCAAAAACGGCTATAGGCATGGATCAAGCAGTAGAACACTTGTCTACCAAGCTCAAAGCCCTGAGTTCAAACCCCAGGACAGCAACAACAAAAATGGTAGCATTAGGAGAGGTGCTAGTTTGGAAACAATTATGGAAAGACAAGATCATCTGCAACCTTTTTTGCAAGTCCCACCCAGATCATATCAAGCATATTACAGTGTATCCATATGCCCCATTAAATGTAATTCATATTTACTGCAGCCATCCTTTGGTGTCATGGGGACCATGTGAACCAAAATCTGTAGATGCTCCTGTCCTTATGCAAGCCATGCACATCTTCCCCGATACTTCCAAAAGATCTCTAGATTATTTACGAGACTTAAAACACTGTAAATGCTAGCAAATACTGTGTTGTTCAGGGAATAAAAACAAGAACAAAGTGTCCACGTGCTCAGTACTGATGCACTCTTAAGAATATTTCAATCCTCAATATGCTGATTCCATGGATGTGGAACTCCCAGATATGGAGGGTATAAGACATGAGCCAAGAACAATGCAAAACGATTGTTGGACTAAGTTGATAGCTGAATCCTTATTGCCAAAATCATTAATTATGTTTTAATATGAAAAGTAAATGTCAACTTTAAGCTAGTTTTGTTCTCTGATATGGTGAATTGTGGACATTAACTTTAAGGAGAAGGAAGGGAGGGAAGGAGGGAGGCAAGGAAGAAGGCAGGCTAAAGGTTGGATTGCAGTTGTCTAATTGTCATTATGCAGGTCTACTATTCCTTTTCCAAAATCCTTGGTGCTATGAGAATTTTGGAATGTAAACTTTTGGAGGTTTTGAAAAGTTAGTATGATACCTAGTACTTCTACCTCAATATGTACCTGAAAAAATGAGAAGAAGGTACATGGAAAGATTTTAATACACTCATGTTCATAGCAGCATTAGTCACACTAGGCAAAAGGTAGAAACATTCTGCATGTCCATCAATGGGAGAATGGATAAATAAAATATGGTTAGACACATATGCACGGTGGAGTATTATTCAGCCTTGAAAAGGGAGAAAATTCTGACACATGCTACAAAATAGATGATCATGAAGGACATTATGCTGAGTGAAATCAGCCAGCCGCACAAGGACAAATACTGTGTGGTTCCACTCGTGAGTTGCTTAGAGGGGTCAAATTCATGAAGATAGAAGTGCAGTGTGCACACCTGTAATCTAGGCACTTGGGAGGCTGAAGCAGGTGAATCATGAGTTCCAGGCCAGCCTGGGCTATACAGCAAGACTCTCTATTAAAAAGAAGAAGAAGAAAAGAAATTCATGAAAACAGAAAGCAAAATGGTGGTAGCCACAGACCGGGAGGAAGGACGCTGGCATAGTATGGTAGAATTTCAGTTCTGCAGATGAACAAAATTGTGTTAATGATGGTGACGACAGGTGCACAGTAATTCAGATGTAATTAATGCCACTGACCTGGATGAATTGGTTTAAATGGAAATGTAATATTATATATTTCAACACAATTTAAAAAGTAACTTTTATATGGTGTTAGGGTATCAAATCCAGAGTCTTGCTCATGCTAGGCATACATTGTGCTGCACCCCAAAATAAAAACACTTAAAAGGGAACACATACCTGGCTGTTACTCATTCTTGGTGGGGTGTGGATGCATATTTTAATCAAATACAGTAATGTTTCTGCCACAAACATATATGAATATCTGTAAATAAAAATGGAAAATTAGCCTTACCTCACAAAAGGGACATTGTGCCACCAAATGAATTGGTGAAGACTTTGCTGTTTCCAGAGTCCTGCAGATTCCAAAAACGTGAAGGAAGAATTGTGGACTCTATCCCATTATGGAGACATTCGATTGACTTGTCTGTGTCACACTTGCAGTTGGCTTTTAGTATTACAGAAGCAGTAGAATGGCTTCACGTCTCAAACATGTTCAAAAGATCCCTGAAAAATGTCAGGGCACTAGGGGGACAAATGGGCCTGGGGCGGGTCTATAAACCAGACAGGTGATAGCACTCCAGCATCTGTCTGCTTTGGTATGAAGTAGGTGTGCATTCCTGTAATTCTTGCACTTAGGAAGCTAAGGCAGGAAACTCAAGTTAGAGGCCAGCGTGGTCTACATAACACGACCCAGTCTCCAAAAATGATAGGAGTAAAGAATGGGGTGAGCAGAGATGCTGAGAAAATGCAGGAAACCCTGTCTGTTTCTTCCAGATACACTAGAAGAAATCCTGAGAACAGAGCATCAACTTGAAACACCAGTTATCAGTGAAGGTAAATGACCATATATGGCTTTAAAAGCAGTGGTGGGTATAGATCAGCACTATGGCTTCATTCACCTGTTTGTAGCACAGGGAGAAAATGAGAGGGTCATGAGGGAGGTGACCATCTCTGTGAAGATCAGCATGGGCCATGGGTATCTCCTCCAAGGATGCCTTCCCTGTTCCCTCCTGGCTGTCCTGAGTCTGCCCTCTTGGGGCAGAAAGAGCTCTCTAATGCCTACAGGTGTCTGCAGGTGACTTCCTCTTCTGGGGATACTTCTAGTCTTATTGTGGCCCATCCTGGGTACCCTCAGACATGCAGCTCAGTCCTGGGGAAGGTCTAAAGCAAGAAGATGACAGTGAGTGCCGTCCAAGGAGGAGGAAGCACCTCCTCTGAGTCCTGGGCTTTCTCACCCTCACTGGTCCCCTCCACAGAACTCTGGAGGACAGACATGGCCCGCAAATAGTCCTTCTTCTTCCAACAGGCTTTCATGTTCCTGCTGATTGCTGCTTCTCCTATACTTCACAAAGAATCCGATGTTCATTCATTAGAGATTATTTTTTAACGAGCAGTGGATGCCCCCAGCCAGGTGTCATGTGAGTGTCAAGCTCCCCCTCCATGTGTTGGGAGAGAGGGAACACACAGGGTCTTGGCGGGGAGGACTTGATGGACAGGTGTCCAGAAAAATCCCACCTCTAGATCCTGCCAGGTAAGGTGCAGCTTGTGTCCTCCCTAGGGTCCTGAAGGGCATCAGTGATGAGATGTTTCTAGTGGAGAGGAAAGGAGGGATGGAGGAGAGAGCAGACAGAAGGCTGCCCAAGTCCACTCCCACAAGTCATGAGGAGTCTCATAGACTGAGGGAAGGTCTCAGAGAGGAGTCAGGCCCTGAGCTACTTCCTGGATAGAAAAGACTGGGTTGAGCAGAGAACAGGAGAGCAGGGAGGATGGGGCACCCCTTCCCAATTTGGTGAAGATACCTCAGTTTGTAATCTTTCTCCTCCTTGTCTCCCAGCTTCCTCACCAAGAGAGGGAAACATGTCTGTGCCAACCCCCATGATTTGAGAGTTCAGAGATGCATGACAGACCTGAGCCTGGCCTCAATGACAAATGACCTGGGAATAATAAGACTCGATGGAAGAGAAGGGGTATAAGCAGCCCCTTATACAGCCACCCCACTACCAGTTCTCTTGCCCCAGCTACCTCTTGGGAGTTTCTTCGCTTGTTTTTTAAAAACAGTTATTCTGCTATTCTGATTTAAAGCAATGCACCTAATAAACTGTATAAATTCAGCTTGACAGGACTGCAGACATCTTAAGTTGTAACCACTATGATTGCCCTAGAATAACTTGAGTTGGGTTTTCTTTCATAATTTCCCAACAAACTATAAATGGATAAAACAGAGTGATATGGGGACCTTTGCCATGGGATCCTGCCTTAAGGAATGTGCCTGACTGTTTGACACTAGCTTAAGGTAAAGCAGATTCATTCAGCTAGAATGAAATCACTTTGTCTTAATGTGTGTGTGTGTGTGTGTGTGTGTGTGTATGGTTCTCTTTCTGACTGAAATTGTAGGGGTCCCACTGGTCTTGCTGCCACCCAGGAACATGCTTCCATCAGTCAGTACCCTAATGAATTTCACTCTTCCCAGTCCTAGATCTGTCTGCTTCTCTGTCTTCAGTCTCACAGCACTTTGGAGCCAGTCCTCTTCCATGAGGGACAAGTTTTTTCCTGGAACAGTATCTACTTTATTTGAATTTTCAGAGAAAAACTGAAGGAATTCCTCAACTTTGGATAATGTCTTCAAAACAAGAGACATCACAGTATGATTTTTAAATAACTAAAAGCATGACTCATTCAAATACAGATTGAATATGTGTCAAAGATGTATTTAACCTATTAGGAAGGGAACCATTAAACAGATTCCATGATCACTGATGGCTTCCGGGCATTCAGAAGGCTGAGGTAGGAGGACCGAGAGTTTGAGGCCATCCTTGGATATATAGCAAGACCCTGTCTCAAACAAAGCAAAACAAAAACATGATTGAAGGAATGAGATTTATGTAGTTAATTGCAGATGACACTCTGAAGTAAATTTGCTAGGATTGAGCACAGATTAATGTCCTGTGTACAGAACAATATAAAAACTGTAACTTTTGGACTTGTCTTCTAGCAGACAGAAATCATTTTCATTTGTGCTAGACAAAAATTTTCAAGTTAATATATAATCTCATGAAGTCTGGTACCTAATCGATAGCAGGAAGAGCATCAATCAAAAGAGAATCCCATATAGATTTTCGGCCTCCTGGGGGGCTGTTTAGTGACATTCCAATACGACATACAGAACGGTATACAATCGTCCTTTGGCCTAATTCTGTGTGTGTGTGTGTGTGTGTGTGTGTGTGTGTGTGTGTGTGTGATGGTGGTGGTGGTGGTGGTACTAGGGCTTAAACTCAGGGTCTTGCATCTGCTAGGCAGCTGCTTTAGCACTTGAGCCAAATCCCTTGCCTTTTCTGCTGTAGCTATTTTTTTAAAAAGGTCTCCTGTTTTGACCTGTGGCCAGCCTGGACCATGATTCTTCCTATTTATACCTCCCACAGAGCTGGGATGACAAGCACAGGCAGCTTAATGGCTGAGATGGGGTCTGCCCTGGCTAGCCTCAAACCAAGATCCTCCTGATTTCTACCTCCTGAGATGCTGGGATTACATCTGGCCCCTTATGCCTATTTCTACATTTTAGATGTTTTTCTTAATAGATATAAGTTCCCAAAAGATCTTCCCTCTAAAGTTAAAAAATATTAAGAAAAACATTTAAAGGTGGAGTTAATATCATTTTAGATACACCTCTATCAAAGCATGTGCTTGTATTTATATTAATACATCTTGGCCAACTATCTCATACAATTCAAAAGACAACACTAAATTCTAAACCACAAAATATTTGTATTTGAAAAAAAAAGTTTAAAACTTATGTTTACTTTCAGTGTGATTTGCATAAGAAATTAGTGGAAGAAAGCTTATAACCAAATAACTTTTATAGCAATGTGTCTATTAGAAAAAACCCTGAAAGTGAGAATAAAACTACACTGAGATTCCATCTCCCATTCATAGTGAGAATGGCTATCATCAAGAAAAGTAATAACAGCAAATGCGGAGGGAAAGGAACCTTCACAGGCTGCTGGTGGGAATGTAAATTAGTGCAGCCACTATGGAAATCCCTCAAAAAACTAAAAAGATGGAACTATCAAAGATCCTGCTAGTCCTCTCCATAGCACATACCCCAATGAAAGTGAGCCAGAGATACCTGTGCTCCCATGTCTATAGCAGCAGTAGTTGTAACGGCCGAGCATTTAACCAGCTCACATGCCCAAGAGCTGATGAATGACAGAGACAACGTGGTGTGTATACACAAGGGAGTATTATTCAGCCATAAAGAAGAATGAAATTACGTCATTTACAGGAGAATGGAGGGAACTAGAGAACGTCATGTTAAGTGAAATAAGCCACACTCAGACAGACAAACACCACCTATTTTCTCTCATGCAGAAACTAGATCTAAAGGGGACAAAAGGACATGAACATATAAGGGGGACTATGGGTGGGGGGAATCAGTGGGAGGTGGGAAGGGGAAAGAAGGGGAGAGTGGGGAAGAATATGATCGAAGCACATTGTATGCATGTAGAAAAGGTCATAATAAAACTCATTTTAAAAACTGTGAGAAAGTTTAAAATGGGGAGTGGGAGGAGTGGGATAAGCACCAGTAAGAGGAGGTTGGATATGATCCAAGTATAATGATATGCATACATGGAAGCATCACATTGAAGCCCTCACGTTGTACAGTTACTATGCACTCACTTTAAAAAGTCCTGAGATAATGACAAAAGCTGGGGGTTATTATAACCCCAAGAGATTAAACATAGCTTTACAATGTCTCCTCTTCTCCCTACTAAAATTATCTTCAAAGGTTTGGTGAAAGTTTACCATCATTTTCTCAAAGGACACATTTTGGTTTACTTAATGTTTGACCCATGATAATCTCTTTTCCAATAATTTTTTTGGCAGTACTGGGGTTTGAACTCAGGGCCTCATGCTTGCTAGGCGGGGGTGCTCTATGACTTGAGCCACACCTCCAGTCCTTTTGCTTTCGTTATGTTTTGAATGGGGTCTTGCACTTTTGCCTGGGCCACCTTGACCAGAATCCTCCTATTTACACTTCCTGTGTAGCTGGGATGACAGATGTGCACCACCATCTCCAACTTGTTGCTTGAGATGGAGTCTCGCTAACTTTTTGCCCTGGTTGGCCTAGAATCACAATCCTCCCAATTTCTATCTCTAACTAGCTAGGATTACATACTACCACACCCAGCCTCAAGTAATTTTTAATTGCTTTTTTTCTTATTAACTGAAAAAGAACTACTTGTCTTGACTTATCATTATTCTGTACTTGTAATTAGAGACTCACACCACTTGTTTTTACCATAACTACCTCATATAGCTACCTCATAACTATACTTGGAAGTCTGTGAAGAGGGTAGAGCTCGTATTGTATGTTCTTTTAACCATGCTCACACTCAGACACAAAAACCTTGTTATATTGGGAGAGAGTACACTAAGTAAGTATGCATTTAAAATATAGTGTAACTGGAACTGCAGTAGATTTTAGAACCAAATGCTACGGAAATCCTTAGGAGGACATGTGGCTCAGCCTAAAGACAATGAAAGCCAAGTCTTCCTGGCAGGGGTGACTGCTAAGCAGAGTTGATAGGGAAATTCGTATCAGCACAAGGCCAGTTCATTCATTAGGCACTAGTATTGGGATCCTGAAATATACACACTGAAAGAAGAAAATCTGTGTTCACAAATGTATCATTAGCTAGTAAACTTAATACACAGTAAAGTGTCATGACACAGGAAAGTGACGGAGCCATGCACTCAAGAAGAACTCAATTCTGAAGGGCCTCTCACACTCAGACAAAACCTTAGAGGTGACCCTAAGTCCATGAGAAGCCGCTGCAGATTCTGTGTCAGGACTCCCGTGGCCAGGTTTACACGTTAAAGCCTTCCCTCTGCTGGTCACCCCTAGTTATAGGCTTTGGGGTACTCAAATGTCCCAGGTGGAGTGTTTAGGCCATGAGATCATCAGAGTCTAGAAATCTCTCTGGGCCTCTAATCTTGAGGGGCTCCAGCCCTTCATCTGGTGCCAGCTCGACTGGCACTTAGATTTAAATTCCTTTCTGGTGAGAACTTCAGAAATAGAACTGATTGGAGAGTCTGCAAGAGTCCCTCCTCCACACCTTCCACCCTGCAGTAGTATTTAGAGGAAAATGAGGACTGGGGGCGTGGCTCAAGTAGGCAGCCCAGTACCACAAAAAAAGAAAGGAAAAGTAGAGGATTGAGTAAATCTCTTAGAGGGAGGAATCCTTCTTGAACCGTTTACTCTCACTGGCAGTATCGACTGGGACATTGGGAAAGTCCCAAGTCACCTTTGCCCTCTACTTTCTGTTGTTTTCTCAGCTGTTCCCTCTTTTAGAACTAGCATGTTGAATATTATATAGCCAAAGAACAGCATTCTGGACTCTGCCCTGTGACTTCCTGATCCTCCTCCTTTTATAAATACAAGGGCAGGCCAGGGAGTCAGGGAGCAGTGAGCCCAGGTGCCCCCAGGCCAGCTCTGCCTGCCCACTGGGAGGATGGAGATCTCCGTGGCTGCCCTCTCCTTCCTCATCCTTGCTGCTGCCTTTGGATCCCAGGCCCTGGTCATACATGGTGAGTCCATTGGACCTTCTCCAGTGGCCAGGTGTACAGTAACTCAGAATCTGGGGAGGAGACACAGAGGGACATTGCTGCCCGCCTATGAGTGTGCTCCATTTCAGACTTTGTTCTGGAACTTACTTAGAAGCAGCAGTGGAATATTGACCTTCCCCTGCCTGAAGCTTTTGGTCCCTCAGAAAATTCTAAACAGATGACCAGTCCCATTTGAGGACAATAGGTTTCCCTTTTCAAGACCAGAATTATTTGATATCTTCTCTTAGCTAATATTTTAGCTTAATCAAATGAATCATAATTAAATTGTAAATTTATGGATAGAACCACAGAATTCCATTCTTCTAGGAGTGTTATGTACCATTTAGTATAAAACTGTCACTTTGAGAAGACATGGGACCAACCTGGCAAGTGATCCAGCCAAGGACACTGTCTCATTTGAACTTCTAGAGTTTTAGTTTTTGGAGGTAACTGTCAACAAAGAGATGTCAGTGCCACTGAAAACAGAACTTATTACTCACTTTCCAAGAGGGGGAGGTACACCACACCCCGCAGGGCCACAGGGAGCATCAGCTTGGGATAAGGAGGCACAGGCAGTAGGGAGGGGGAAACCAGGCAAAGCAGAATACTGTGTAGGACTGGCTAGTCTAGTAAATCAGGCAGGTTTGGGGTACAGGGATGATCTCCAGGGGTTTGGTACCTTGTATGTGTTTGAAAGTGTAAGCATCAGCTAGTTTGAACCCTTTGCTGTCTCTAAGAATTGGCTACCCCACGTTCAGAAAGACAGAGGCTGCACGTTTACTCTCATATGTGGAAGGTAGATCCAAAAGATAAACACATGCGCAAAACCAAACATGAGCATATACAAACTTATATGTAGAACATGTTCGTAATGATGGAACTACTCCATAGAACTTGGGGGAGGAGGGAAAGGAAAAGAGAATGACAGTCAACAATATTGAAATACACAACATCTGTGCAGGTAGAGGATACAATGATATGTGTTGAAAGCTGTTAAATAATGGGTTTGCGGGAGGGAAGGGGTAAAGGAGAGTAATGGAAGGGGTTGAACTGACTAAAGTAAATATACTCACAGCAGGGATACACTGAAAAACTCCTTTGAACATTGACTTTAAAATAAGCAACAAAAAGCAGTACTGTAAAATAGGTACTGTGTTTGGTGTGTGTATATGGGGGTACTTATGAGAGGGAGCAGGGTGAATGAAGAAGTGAAGGTGAGGAAATATGGTTGATGTGCTTCATATACATATATGAAATAGAACAATGAAACCTCTTGCAACTGCTTTAAGTGGGGCAGAGAGGGGGTCGAGGGGAAGAGATGGTGAGGAGGACTAACCAAAGTACAAAGTAAGCCTATTCAGAATTGTCACAATGCATCCCCCTATACAGTGAATATAACCTAATAAAAATGAGGGGAAAAAAAGAATTGGCAAGCCTTGGGAGAGGCAGTTTCTTCCCAGCTGTCAAGATTTTTTAAGATGTCAAAATACCATAAGATGCAGAAAATACAAGCCATGTTAATGTAGTCACCTAACCATTCTTTTTTTGTTTGTTTGTTTTTTTCTGGTGGGACTGGGGTTTCAACTCAGGGTTTGCAAAGCAGGTCCTCTACCACTTGAACCACACCTCCAGTCTATTTAGCTCTGGTTATTTTTGGAGATGGGATCTCGCAAACTATTTGCCTGGACTGGCCTCGAACCTCTTGATCTAGCCTCCCAAGTAGCTAGATTATGGGTGTGAACCACCAGCACCCAGCTCTATTTTATTTTTATTTAATAAATTCATACTTTAGTACTTCCAATTGCCAGGAAGCCACTGTTCTATGTGATATATATATTTAACATATTGATTCTTCTTCATGACTCAATGGGAGTACATATTAGGTTGAACAAATGTAAATTCAACATTCTAATAGGAAAAAATTAGTAAGACACCAGCAATATTATATGGTTTTGCATATCTTTGTTGTGACTCATTTTACAAATGAGAAAACTGGGCATAGAAACCTTAAATAACTTGCTTAAGATCATATATCTAGTAAGTGAGAAACTTAGGATCTGAGGTAGTTAGAAAGTAGTTATGGAAAAATAAGGCTATTTCAGATTTTTTTGGAGGCCCATCCACATCATGTCAAACATGTATCTTACTACGCAGAATTCCTGTGAACTATTTAAGGAATAAGTTCATTTGCCTAGTTAGCATAATGCAGGCCCACAGTCCCTTTATCTATGCCCTCTGGGGTTAGGTGTAGTTTGGAATGCAGAATTTTTCTGGTTTTGAAAAAGTAATATACATTTGGACATTTCTTTAACATCCCTAATGATGTCTGGGGAGCATCCTTTAATCAAATGCATATGAATATTTATACTAAGTTAGATAAATAAAGACTTTAAATAGCCTCACTGCATGTCAGGGGACATTGTATTATGAATGAGTTGGTGAAGATCTTGCTGTTTCCAGAGTCCTGCACATTCCAGAAATGTGAAGGAAGAATCGTGGACTCCATCCCATTACCCAGACATTCGATTAATTTGTCCATGTCAGACATGCCATTGGCTTTTAGTGTTACACAAGCGATGGAATGTTTTCACATCTCAAACATGTTCAAAAGGACTCTAAGAAGTGTCAGAGCACTAGGGGACAAATGGGCCTGGGGGCAGACATAGAACCCAGGTGATAGCGCTCCAGCACCAAACCCAGTCTGCCTTGGGGTAGAGGAGAGGAGAGGGTGAGTGGAGGCAATGAAACAATGCTGCCTCCCAGCAAGTTCTTCCCCTACCTGTCTGTGTCTTCCAGGGGTGAAGACAATGGAATTCCTGAGCACAGAGCATCAATTTGAGCCTCCCATAGTTCAAAAAGGTAAGTATTCCTGCACTACGCTTTATCCGCCCTGTTTACAGGGCAGGAAGAGAAAGGGAGGGCCACGAGGGAGGTGGTCATTACCTTGAGGCTCAGAAACACTTTCTCTATTCCCTCCTGGCCGTCCTGAGGATGCCCAGTTGAAGCAGAGGGAGCTTTCTGATGGCTACAGGTGAACTCCCCTTCTGGGGATACTTTTGGTCCTGTTTTGGCCCACCCTGGGTACCTTCAGAAACATAACTCAACCTTGGGGAAGGTCTGAAGCAAGATGACAGCCAGTGCTGGCCGAGGAGGAGAAAAGCATCCCTTCTGAGTCCTGGGCCTTCTTCCTTCCATGGTCCCCTCCATACTACTCTCAAGGGAAAAGACTTGTCCTCAGATGGCCCTTTCTCTATCTGCAGACTTCCATCAACCTTCTGACTGCTGCTTCTCCTACATTTCACGAAAAATCCAGTGTTCAAACATGGAAGATTATTTCTTAACTAGCAGTGGGTGCTCAAAGCCGGGTATCATGTAAGTGTCAAACTCACCCTGTATGTGTTGAGGAAGATCAGGGTCTTGGTGGGAGGACCCGATGGATGGGTATCTGGAAAAGTCCCGCCGCTAGATCCTGCCAGGTAAGGGGCAGCTTGTGGCCTCCCTAGGGTCCTGAAGGGCATCAGTGATGAGATGTTTCTAGTGGAGAGGAGGGGAGGGATGGAGGAGAGAGCAGGCAGAAGGCTGCCCAAGGCCACTCCCATGAGTCATGGGAGTCTCACAGGCTGAGGGAGGGTCTCAGAGAGGAGTCAGGCCCTGAGCTACCTCCTGGAAAGAAGACACTGGATTGAGCAGAGAATCCCATAGGCAGGGAGGATGGGACTTCTCATCTCCACTTGCTGAGGACCCCTCAGCTTGTAATTTTTCACCCCCTTTTCTCCAGCTTCCTCACCATAAAGGGGAAACAGGTCTGTGCTGATCCCAGAGATTCGTCAGTTCAGGATTGCATGAGGAAACTGAAGCCCTAAAAAGGTCCTAAAGCCAGGAAACTATGAAACTCGCTTGAGGAGAAGGGGCAGAAGGTACCAAGCACCCCACCTCCGATGCCCTTGCCCCAGCTCTCCTATGAATTTCTTCAACTGAATTATTTAAAAAATTTTATTGTTCTGTTCTGGTTAGAGAAGTTATGCATCTAGTGAAAATCATTCCATCTTACTTTGTTTGAATTTTAAGAGGAAATAAACCAAAATAACACTGAAAGAATTGCTAAACCCTAAAGAGATTCAATGTGAGTTCCTAATTTAAACCAGCAATCATGTGATTCCCGTGAAGGTGGTCCTGGTGTTAATGGCAAAAAGTATTTCCAGAAATCTTGGTTCTTGCGCTCTGGCATGAAAGAATACAAACAGAACACATGGGTGTGGTGAGGTAAGAAAGTTTTATTAAGGGAAGGGGAATCACTGGCTCTGCCAGATGAAAGGTGGCGCAGAGGTGAGAGAAGAAAAAAAAGGGTGGAGTCTTTTATTAGGTCATTTTTATACCACCTTGTACTTGGATTTCGGGAGAGAATTCATCATTACCTGGTTCCTCTGACCTGTGGACTAAGGGAAGGAGCTCTTTGAGTCAGGAGCAGGAGTAGTCCCAAATTTTCCCTAACCCTAACCTGCCTCACTAGGACCTTGCTTAGAAATACTATTTGAAGAGGTATGGTAAATAGGCAGGCAGGCTAGCTGGGGAGCCAGGCAGAGAAGCCTGTCCAGCTGTATCTCACTCCTCCGTGACTTCCTTTTCTCCCCATGACACTGTCCTCAACATAAGAAGTCCCTAGCTCCCTGGTCATGAGTGCAGATTCTGATTACAGGCATCTGGCTCTGGTGGGTGAAGGGAAAGGAGAGGGGAGTACTGAGGTTGTCAGCTTCATTTCTGGGGAACACAGTTAAAGGAGTGGAGTTGGGACTTCTTGTCCTTGACCAGAAGGACCCAAGGAACAATCCAGTTCTTGATCTGGCCCACTATCCCCTCTGGAAGGCTCCCTCAGCAGATATTCTTCCTTATTTAGAGAATTGTCCTGATAACTTTACCCTGGGGCAAACCTGCACCTGACTGTCCTATAATGGGTCTGAAAGATCCCTCAACGCAAGCCTCTTCTGCCAACACCCACTGTCTCTGATTTTCAGGGTACGCAGGGTCCTGCCAAAAACCCCCTTTTTCTTTTTTTGTTTTTTTTATTCATATGTGCATACAATGCTTGGGTAATTTCTCCCCCCTCCCCCCACTCCCACCTCTCCCCACCCCCTCCTTCTCCCCCCCACCCCCTCGATACCCGGCAGAAACTATTTTGCCCTTAATAGGAAGGACCAAGGGAAAACCCCCCTTTTTCTTTTTTTCAGCATACCAAAATCAATTGTATTTTTATATATTCACAATGAGAAACCCCAAAATAAAACTAAGAAATATATTCTTAATTGAAAAAAATGGCACCTCAAAACTACAGTGCAATATATATTCTGCAAAAGTCAATCAATTGAGCTGGAAGTGTAGCTCAGTGGTAAAGCACTTGCGTCGTCTGCATGAAGTCCTGGGTTGGTCCTCCCAACTTCACCCCTAAATCAGCCAATCGCAGAGAAAATTTGGAAAATGAATTGCACAGCGGTTACCAAAGGTAGAGAAATTATGGCTAATTTAAATTTTTTTCTTTCCTTTTGTTTTTGAAACAAGATTGGAGAGGAGAGAGGGGGTTGTAATGAGCAGACCAGGTGGAGTCAGTGCCAACTAGACCCTTTTGGCCAAATTTAAGCAACAAAGAGGCTTAGAAGGAGTGGCTCTTAGGCAGTGGGATTCTAGACAAGGACAATACAAAACAAAACCCAACAAAAGCAGACGTCTAAAAAGCTAACCTGGTTGACTCATAAGTACTCATTACAGTCATTTTTATGGACTTGATTGTAAATGCCATCATTTACAATCTGTAATTGTACTGTAATGACAAAAACTTAAAAGAGCCATGGTTAAAACATTGATCGACAATTTAGCAACTAACAGAACAGTGTATCATTACCATTAACTTTTTGTTACTGTGTTTATCTAAATTTTGTATTTTAGAAGGCTTTATACACTTGAAAAACATAAGTATATTTAGTATACAGGAACTAGCAACAGCATCACAGCTCTATTGAGGTTATATATAGTTGTTGCTCTTGAAGTAAAACCTTAGATTTTCTCATCAGTTGGGGCGGGGGGCTTGGAAACAGTGTCAGTGACCCCAAATAGCCCAGTCACAGACACTTATTATTGGATACTGACTGCATTAGAATCATCCATGACAACAGTTGTTTAACCATGAGGTCATCTAGGAAATTTTACATAAACCAATTCTTAAATGAACATGACTCAGTTACCTTAGTAGTCAAAACCCTGACAAAAATCACCAGAGAACACAGGTAAATATTTATGGGGATTAAGTGTGGAGTTAGGAAACTTACTGGCCAAGAATCATGGCTCAGATGTTGATAAGGGATTACATCCCAGATTGTTGACATTAACAGATGGCTCATGACATACAGCAGGATCCCACCAACCTGTAGTCAATGGAGCCCCTCTAAAATAACAGTCTCAATCTGGCCATCCCAAGCCAAAAATTCCCTCTGCCTGACATGTGGAAAGAATAGGACTAATATCTTCTCTGTTGACTCCAATAAAAACTGGAGGTCTTGACCTTCCGCTTTCCACTTTGCTTTACATAAGTAAATCTGTCTCAACCCTCATATCAGTGCAGAAGCACTACCTGTGCTCAGCTGCCTCTTACCTCTCTGTGTTTTAATAAACTCTTGTTGTCTTGATAAATTTGTAGATTAACCTGTAGCACCAAAAATTCCTGACAGTTATCTTGACAAAACAAAAGCCATTTTTAAGACAGTTTTTTGTAAATGTTGTCAAGAACAATATAATATTTTTAAGATAGCCTTGTTGTTATGAGCTCAGAGAATAAAGTTTTAGTTTAACATCAGTACATTAAATTTTGACCTTATAAAAACCTTCAATGTAACTGGATTTTAGTCAACTCCATCACTTACATAGCATTTATAAGCTCCATCTTTTTATGACAACTTACTCTGTACCTTTATGACAACTTATTTTGTATCTTCTGAGGGAGCTTGTCTTTATCTTCTTTATTTAAAAGTATTTTTTAACCTTTTATTTTTTAAAAACCGTATCTTTATACTATATATATATATATATATATATATATATATATATATTATAATTTGTTACTGTTGAAAATAACTCATAAACCTTTTAACTTAGAGCTTTATATTTGTATGGAAAAAATAGAAAGAAAGCAACCTTAAAGTTACTTTTTTGTATAAAAACAATTTATAGAAAGCCCATTTGTTAATAGACCCATGTAGTATAAGAGAGAATTAAATCCCAGATTTTATTTATGACAGAATGAAACAGGCTAAGGTCAATTTTTAACTACTCAAATTTTAAGATTCATGCTGTAGGCTGTGCCCGCCCCCCCCCCTTTCTTTCTTTCTTTTTTTTTTTTCCTCTCCTCTGGTCTGAGCCAGAGTGTTAACCCCTAAATTCCTGCAGCCTAGTGAGACCTGATTGAAATAAGCTTGAAAACTGGTTTTCTTAAAAGTAGCAGTAGAACACCATAATAATTTTTTTACATTGACCCTATAATAAGAACCATCCTTACGACGTTTACATATTAATATGTAAAAAGCTTAAGCAGTCTATAACAGAGATCTTTAAAACAAACACCCTGGTTTTTTGTTACTTTGAATATCATATTAACCTTATAACAACAGTTTAAAAACCATTTTGAAGGTGTTTACACACACACACACACACACACACACACACAAAGTTTTATAAATTAAGCATGCCAGAAAAAAAAATGTCACCTTAAGTGTGCATAAGATGAGCTAGAATTTGAGGGGCAAACTAAATTTTGCCCAATGCTTTAAACAAATTCATACACACACACACAAAAAAAAAATTAGAGTGTACTCTTAAAAAAGAAAAAGCTTTTAAATTATATCCAGAGGGCTATCCAGTGGAATGGTAGATGATGCATCTGTCCTCTTGTGAGTCTCCCTCTTTGGGACTGAATTTTTGTTATCCATCCCTTAACCTCAGTTGTGGCTATTTCCTAGGAAAAGCTCAACCTCCCTAATTCCCAGAGGTGTTTCATATAATTTCACCCCACTTCCTAAACCTGAGAGACCTGGTTTCACCCCAAAAGGTGGTTACTAGGGGTCTCTGGGAGATGATCAGTCTCCGCTGCTGCCTCCCAAAGGCAGGACTATTATTTGAACCTGGGTTCTTACCAGTGTGATGAGTGGTGCTCCCCTTGCTGGTTCTTGCACCTTGCTGGTTCCATTGTGCACCCAAGGCACTTACCCAGACTTGCAGGAGGACAAATCCCTCCTCTGGATCAAGCTGTCCATTGGCACCTGGCGGATCATTTCTCCCTGTGGTCCAGGGGACTTACCCCACAACAAGGGATATAAAAAAAATCACAGTCTCCACAATCCTGGATGAGCCCCCAAGAAATGTTATAGAAAACTTGAACAGAGACATGGGACTCTGAAGTGAGGGAGTAACATCTTATTGTGCAGGCACAGACTCAGAGGACTCATGTCCAAAGGCTGAACCCCAAGAACAAAGGGGTCTCACTTTATGTAACCCTTGCAAGCAGGTTACAGAGGCAATAAAATTTTTAAAAAACAAGGTTTAACTCATATTTGGTCATATGCAATTCTATAGGCCACTTCAGCCTAGTGCTAGTGCCCTTCTACCCCTAGTGCGACATGACCTTCTTCATGTTTGGATTCCTTAGGTTTTATTCTCTGTTGTACCATCCCTTCCCCCCTGCTACTGTATCAGAACACAGGCCTGCCTGTTTCTCTTCTGGTCTGATTCTCCATGGAGATTTTGTTTCACAGACTTAGAGGAATTCTCAAAAACTGTTGGATTAAAACCATGCTAGTTCTACAGGGAATGCATGTGGTTCACCGAGTTCTCTTCTGAGCTAGCAGGTCAAGTTGCTAGCTCAGAAGAATGAAATGTGGAATATGGAGCACCTGAGCAGCATGGATGCCAGAGGACTGGGTGTCTCCTTGTCTAGGTATCGGGTTGTGACAATGGCAGCTCCACAAAAATAAGGAATGAAAACCAAGATTTTCCTTTCTAACCAAGCATCTGGTCACTCACAGATGATCTTGAAGGTCTTGGAGGGAACAAGGGTATGTTATGTCTGCATTAATTGCATAATATTCACATACTTTAATGGCTGGGAATATAGCTCAGTGGCAAAGCCCTTGCCTAGCATGTACAAGGCCCTGGGATCAATGCCCAGTAGCACAAGAAACAAAAACAAAAAAGAAATTAAAAAAAAAACACTCATGTACTCTATTTTCACAGTTCCTCAAAAGCAGCATGTACTTTCTGTACTTTCTTGCTTTCCTACTTGTGCTCTGTGCCCTCCTCTCAACTCTGCCCACAACGATGAACCCAACCTCAAGGCTTCAGATTAGGTACCACCATAAAAATCTCCCTTCATCATCCTAGTCAGAAGGCTCTAGCTCTCTTTCTTTGGAATCCTGAAGCAAATATTTATTGTCACTCAAACAGGTTGTTACTGAGTGTCCACTTTATGTTGTATTATGCTAGACATTGGAAAACCATGAAAAGAAAACATGCTGGATTACTGCCCTTCAAGCGTGTTTCAAACAATAGAGAAGACTGAAAATAAGAATAAGATATGACATGTGGGTACAAGAATCATAGCTAACTTATCACTAAACATCCAAATTATTGCACAGCCAAGGAGTGGAAGGATGAGGCTGTTTATATCTGGAGGCACGCAGTCTGGGATTCAAGCCTCCCAGGCCCCAGTTGAACTCCCCAAGGGCTGAAGAGACCAATGACTGAAGCACACCAATTAGAGCTCTCATAGGTCAGGACCTCTGAAAACTTAGCTTGCATGACAATCATAGCAAGAGCTTGTGAAGACAGAGTGCTGGTGCCACCCAGAAATCTGATTAAGTTGAACTAGGAAAGGGCCAAAGAATCAGCATATGATATTGTGGCACAGAAGCAATGTGGTCATTAGCCCCACCCCCTTTCCCTCCTGGTTATTCAGATGATGCATGTTTTCCATCCCTTTGTCATTAGGTTGCAGCCAAGTGGCTTGATGTTGGCCATGGAATGTGGGTGACAGTAATTTATACTCCTCCTCTACCTCTCTCCTTTGGTAGCAAGCATGGAGCCTTGTGCTGAAAATGATGGCATCACAATACAGAGCAGCCCTGGTTCCTGGTGAATGCAGGGGAACAGCTCTTCCCAACACACTCCCTTATACCACTGCTGACTCACGTTGGACTGTGACATGCACAAGAAATAAACTTTCATTTAATTAATATATTCTGGGTTGTTTAATGTAGCAGTTAGTATATATATATATTGTAGAGGCAGAAACTCAGTAACTGCCAAAAGAAGGGAGCGGGATTTCCTGTAAGGCAGCTAGCAAAAGTTTGGCAGGTCAGCTAGTCTGCATAAAAACAAAGTAAACATTATCTGTTCCCTTCTCAGAGTCTTCCCAGAACCAACTTGTTTCCTCAGATTGTTCCTAATGACAATTATTATTTTATTTGAGGAGTTTAAAGAATGTTGTTATAGATGATAACAAATACAGAAAATGTCTAATTAATGACTGTCTCCATGCCTAACTGTAAGAATTCAGCCATTGCCTATGGGAAATATATATATATATATATATATATATATATATACCTGACTCTATTCAATTTTTCTTTTAAAACAGGTGTTTAGGACTCAGTGGTAGTGTTTGCCTAGCATAAATGAGGCCCTAGATATGACACCCAGCAAAAACAAGCAAGCATAGAGGCTGGTGGAGTGGCTGAAGTGGTAGAGCACTTGCTTAGCAAGCATGAGGCCCTGAACTCAAACTCCAGTACCATGAAGAAAAACAAAAACAAAATACAAGCAAACAAAAAGACATGTATTTATTTGCATGCATTTCTGCACGAACAGGGAAAGATAAATAATAGATGTTTCCTGCTCTGATGATTCCAGGCAAGTAGAGAAAATAAATAGCTACCTAACACAATGGCAAGCAGAGAGGAGGAAGTGCCCCAAGAAGAGCATAGTGAAAAACTGTAGACTGTGAGTCTGCAGAGGTGAGATCTGTGCTGCTTCCAAATCATTGTGTGGACATGAGTAGGCTATGGGCCCTGTCTGACCCCAGCTTCTATCCAGAAACTGGTCAATTTAGATCAAGCTGAGGATGGCAAATATACAGCCTGCAAGCTACATCCTAACAGAAACCATACATCAGTCACAGCATTTTGACCCAGTGTGGACAAGTCTTCTGAATAGTTTCCCACACAGAGCTGCAGTCCACCACTAACCAAAAAAGCCTACTGCATTCCCAAAACAGGCCTTCTCTAAGGATCCCGCCAAGCTTCTTGTAGCCAAGTAGGAAAGCAGAAGGCCCTAAAGGTGTCCACTTCCTGATGTCAGAAAGGGCTAACAATGAAGACTTTACGGAGAACACAAGCCAGGCAGTACGCTTTTGGAGAGCTTTACTTGGGGCTTCTGTGTTTCTTTAAAGTTCACAGACTTGGGAGCCAAATGACTTGAATCTGAATCCCAGTTCCACTTACCAATTGTCAAAGCGTGGGCTTTGCTTTTGAGTCTCAGTTTCCCAAATCAGCTAATATTCATAGAGCATTTGGGACAGTGGCTAGAGTGAGAGGCAACCATTATATAAATGAGTTATTTACTGAGTCCCATAGCACTTCTTCACCCCAGGTGTGGTAAGGAGGATGGGGACAAGGCTGGGAACTGCTTCAGAGTTTAAGTGAGGATTTCTTGGCTCTGATGAATGAGACCTGACTTAGGGGACTCCAGATCTCATCTCACTAGCCCAAACACCCCCAACATGTCCCTGTTCTGAAGCTTGGAACTGGAATTTGGCACATCCCAACCTTGAGATCTCTTGCTAAGTGTGAGACATTGCCCCCAGACGCTAAGGAGGGGCTTACATCAGAGGAGTTATTCCCACTGGGGATGGGAGGCAATTTCCCGCCTTGAATCTTGGCTCTCTGTGCTTCCTTCACACCCTGTTCACAAATGTGCAGGATATGAAATCGCTGAGCCGTCTGCTGCTTTTCTACTTCCTTTCAAAATCTTAGTTCCCTTATTTACAAAAATATTTGCCTTAATGATCATTTCTCAACACTTCCTCACCCCAGGAGCCTCAGAAGCCCCCAACAGGTCAGCTCTTCTCTTGCAGCAGCTTCTTAAGGATGAAGGTCCCCATGGCCACCATCTCCTTCCTCCTCCTCCTCATCACCATCAACACTACCCTAGGGGCCAAGGCTGAAGCCTCCTCACGTGAGTGCAACACCCTGTCTTCCTTCCAACCTGGCCCCTGTGGGGAAATAAGCAGAAGGTAGCTGGGAGGATGAGACAGAAGGGCTGTAGAAATCTGTGTCTTCTTAAATTGGTTCCATCCCACTCTCCCCAGGACCAGTGCTCTTTCCCCTAAGGCCATGGAGGCCGGCTGCCTCTTCATGCCCTCAATTCCTCTCTCTTTGCTATTAAGCATAAGGTGGCCCCCCCAGTAGGGTGATATTCTCTCCAGGGAGAATGAAGAGTCCTCCAGGTCACATTGTTTATTGCCCCTCCAACCATCCTCCCTCCCAGATCTGGCCCCAGCCTGTCCCCAGCATCACCCAAGCCCTTGAGTACAGCAGTACTTGGGTATGAGTTAGGTGTGTGTGGTCCCACCTGACCACCATTTTTCAGCTTATTTTTTAGAATGAGTGATCTTTACAGACAACCAGAAGTATTCCTCAGTCATCTATTTTTAACTTGTTTTCTTTTCAGAATGCAGAAGATTGTTGAAATAAAGCTAGTCTAAAGTTATTGCGAACCTAGAAAGTTTTCCTGACTGTGGAAAATCATTTGTCTGTTCAGAGCACTGTGGTGGGGGAGTTAGATCCCTGAGTGGATCTCGGGGACCATGGGATCCTCTATTTCATTGTTTGGATAGTGAGGCTGCTGCCTGGCATGGTACTGAGTTACAGGTCCTAGCCTTTCTCTTTCCATCCAAGCACTGGGCCACCCTCAGTGGCCCCTGAGGCCACTGAAATGCACACTTCTCCTCTGTCCCCTTGGTACATAATGTACACACACCTGGCTTTTCGACTCCATAATCATAGCGTGTACTTATTTGTACAGCACCCTTCCTACTGCCTCTGTAGCTCAAACTTGGGTGACCTCACTGTCACTCCTTTGCATCTCCTGCAAGAGATATGAAATTCTGCAGTCAGAAAACAGCTGAAAAATCACCTAATTGTTATTTTTTAAAGTTTTTGAGACCATGAAACCTTTTCTTCAAGTAAAATCTACAGAAGCCCATATATAATATAGTAAAAAAAGTTGATTGGGGACCACTCCCAAGGCACCCCTCTCAAATGCAGCAGTACCTCCAAGATAGCTCCTGAAGCCCCCAGAGCCTCAGGAAGTTCCGTGTAAAAATCACCAACTCAGTCCAAAAGCCTCATTTGCAACGGAGGAAACAGAGGGAAAGCAAAATGGTCACAATATAAAGAAAGCAAGGGCAAGTTTGGATGAGAATGTGGGTGTCCAACTCCATCCCTTTCTGCAGGCCCCAGTCTCAGTGGGGGACAGGATGGGGGACTGGGAGGGCCTGGGTCTGCATTCCCAAATGACATGTCTCTCAATCTCTATTGGTATTTCTTTCCAATACTCTTATTTGGAGCATTTTTCCTGAGTAAGGAATACAGGCTGTGTGACCTTGGGCAAGTCACTAGCCTTCTTTGTGCATCTAGGTTTGCTGTTCTTCAAGCCTGGAGTTGAATGTTACCAGCCAGTCTTTCCAGGAGGGGTTGAGGGAAAGGAGGAGGGTGGCTGCTGATGAAGGGGGAGGAAAGAGGAGCCAGGACAGTGATGTTGAGAGGGAGAAGACGATTGAGGTTCTCCAAAGCCCTCTCTCCAGGTTCTGTGACATAGCAGCAATGTCACTTTTAGCAAGGAGTCATTCAGCATTCTGTGCTTTCTCCTCAGGAGGGCCTTACCACCCCTCGGAGTGCTGCTTCACCTACATCACACACGCCATCCCACATCACCGGATTAGCAGTTTTTATGAGACCAGTGGCGAGTGCCCCAAGCCTGGAGTTGTGTAGGTGGCCCCCATACCACATGGGAAGAGGGAGGCAGCAGGACCTCAGGAAGGGGTGGAAAGGACATGAAATGGAACCCCCAGGGCACCTCCCAGGTGTGTCCACACTGGGAGAGGCAGCAAGGGGCCACCTGGGGACTCTGACTGAAGCCTGCAGAGTCACCTGGAAGCTATCCCCATGGATGAAGGGGCATTGGCGGAAAAGAGGAGAAAGCATAAGGGTACTTTCTGGGGTAGGAGGACACAGAGACAGGGTGGGTAGGGGTCCCAGGAGCTGAAGAACATATTCTGAGGGAGGCCATCCCTGAGCTGCCTATGTCAAAGGAAGGACAGATAGTCCAGGTTCTGGGGAATATGGGAGGGAGACAGGGCTGGCTTTCTTCCCAGCTGCTGAATGCCTTGGTTTGCAATCCACTCTCTCTTGTTCCATAGCTTTATCACCAAAAAGGGCCACTCCATCTGTGCCAGCCCCCAAGATGAGTGGGTCCAAGACTACATCAAAGATCTTGAGGAGAACTAGTGATCCACATGCACCAGAGAAAGTTGTAGCTCAGCATCCTGAAGGGAAGAGGCCTAACGTCCAAGGCCTCAAGTTCCAGCCACCATCTGAGAACTGTCCTGCATTGAATTAAAATCTATTCATGCCCTTCCCTCCCCTCATTCAATTCTACTTAGTTTACCCATTGACAGTGGACTGAGCACACCAGGGAGCCCAGCCTGGTGTGGCACCCTCAGCAACAAGCCTCCCCCTGCAGAAGGTCAGCTCTATGACGGCAGCAGTGGGAATATAAGAAGAAAGTGAGAAACTCAATGTAAAGGTCATGTCCTCAATAATGAGACCAATAACATACCATTTTGTTAGTGCTTTCCCTGTTCCAATCACTCTGCTAAGCAGTGCATTTTCATTATCTTGTTTAAGCTTCATGACAGGTGTAAAAGTGAAGATTCACTTCACTGCTTGATTTTACAGGTAAATTTTCATAAGGACCATTCCTTAGCAATAAGACACCTGTGTGTGTGTGTCTTGTGGGGAGGGGAGTGGTACTTTGCCCAAAGCCTTTCTTTTCTGGGATAGGAATGACTGATCTGTTGACACATTTATCCAAACCTTCCCCCTTACCCTTATATGCATCAGGTTGTACTATATTACTTTACTTAGTTTTGTGTCTCCTAGGCCTAGCAGAATGTCTAGCTCATGCCAGGTGTTCAGGAAGGGAAAGGAAGGAAGGAAAAAAGGGAGGGAGGAAGGAAGGGAGGGAAACAGGAATCAAGAAGTATGTGTCCCATGAACAGGCTTTCAAACTTGTCTTCAGGGCTGTGGAGGAGCTCCGTGAACCTGAAGTAAGAGTATGCCCAGTGTTGAGAGAATGACTGCCCCTCTCTGGCCTCCAGCCTTTCACAAACAAGGGTTTTCAGGCCAAGGCAAAAGCCAAGAGGGTAGCCTATATGCTAACGGTACAACCAGGCCTACTCAGGCCTCTTCACCTTCAATAAACCGAGGACAAGAGGGAGCCCCACACATGCAACCTCTCTACCCTAACAAAAAGCCATAGCCTCACCACCACTAGTGCTGAACCCACCAGGACTAACTCCATTACATGTTTTACTGATTTATGACAGGCACACCAAGCAGCAAGGCCCTAACCTACACATTCCTTATTCTGTCCCTACCTCTTAAGACTCAACTCCTCAAACACTTCCCCTGTACCTCTAAAGTTCACAGTCCAGTCACAGCAAAATCCCCTATATCTCCTGTTTCTTCTCTGAGTGCTGCTTCAGCCTGGAACTGGGCCCTAAGACAATGAAAGGAGAGAAGATGCAATGTGGGTCAGATCTGGCAGGAGCCAAGGCTGCAAGAGCAGGTCAACTCTGAGCCTCATAAATTGATCAGGCGTACCGAGTTGGAGCACCCTCTACTGGTCATGATTGGCCTTAGTAACAGGATTGGATGATCCTGTGTTTAGGGCACCAGGAGAGAGGAATCTGCCAGCTCCAACTAAAAATTGGTCTAGAGTCCAAATAGATAAAGGAGAACACAACACACCGAGCACCTCAGCCACAAAGAGGACCCAAGGATCAGGCACAATGTTTTATCAGAGTATTACTAGCATAATCTGTGGCATGAAAGTTCACATGTGAACTCAATTATGTGGTCTTGGACTGGAGATAGGGGACAGCCTCTCAGAGGTCACCAGACCTTACCCTTTCCTCAGGCTGTTACTCTCTCTAATCCTGGTTTATTCCTACCCTCCAAAGACCAGGGGGAACTGAGGCCCTTCCTACCCATCCAGCCTCCTACCCATGCAGCCCTAAACAATTTACTCACCACTGTAAGCATAAGTGGAGAATTAAGTAAGGAAGGTCATGAAGGTGGCTGACAACACACCCTTGTCACCCAGTCCTTCTCCACTCATCACCTCACATGAATTTAAATCCTGAACTCTACTGTGCACCAGCCCTATCCTCTACCACCTTCCCTTTCAGCCAACACAGAGGCCTATTGTTTACCCTTTTCTGCCAGCTCTGAAGTGGTCAGAGTCCAGAGTCCAGAGCTGAGCAGTCTAAGCAAGGCAAGGCAACACCAACAGCAAGGCAAACACCTCTGCTCAGCTCTGCCCTGCAGCTGCATTGCCCCACTGAGAAGATGAAGGTCTCTGTGGCTACCCTCTTTCTCCTCCTTGTCCTCACCACAACTTCTGCTTCCTACAGCCAGCAAAGTGAGTCTATCTGTCCTGTAAGGCAGGGCTGAGAAGGGGGAACAGGGAACTAGCAGAAAGGTGACACCAAGTGTGCTCCATCAGCCCCGGGGATCTCTTCCTACCTTAGTGCCCAGCTGCACTTAGTGCTCACTTTCTCCTCTTTGAGAGCAGAGTTGGGCTTGGTCCCCAGCCTTCTGGGGGTGGGCAGTTGAAGGAAGCTGAGTCCGGTTTTCTCAAGAGTCCCAAGGATCAAGAGCAGCCAGGAGTGACCACTTTAGAGGAGAAGACAAGGAATGCAACAGTAAGTGTAGGTAACAAAGGGAAGGATGAGGCAAGCTGAAGCGATCCCTCAGGACTAAGCCTAGGAATGGGGAGTCTGGATCTTAGCACCCCTTCCTCACAGTGGCTGACATGGGTTGCTGGGCCTACTGGACAACCAAAATGAATACCAACTGGATAGCCAGGTATGCTGTTTGACCTGCACCACCATCTTCACCTAAGACTAAAGTAAGTTGCAGAAAAGAGAAAAGAGGTTGAAGAGTTTGGGAGCTATGAAGAAAGGGGAATTGGGACCTATGGAAAATAGGGTATTTTGGCCACTCCCTGACCCCTCCTTCTACCATCATTGATGGGGAGCTGGTGGCAGAGGAGGCACAAAGACACTCAGCCCTTCTATATACTTGCTTTAGGTTGCCCCCACCCCTCTCAAGGCTACCCTACCCATGCAGTCTGGCCTGGCTCTACCTGTGCAAACACACAGAAGAACAAGGGTCAAGTGCACAATGCACTCTGTCCACATGTCCTCAGGATGACCCTGGTCTCTGTAAACTTTGGAGAACCAGGGACATGAACATCACTTACAGAGGGACTGCATGCAGTCACTTATAGAGGGACTGGTGGGTGGGAGTGGGCAAAGTCAATCAGGCCATTGCAGTAGGTTCTGGCTTCAAGGAAAAGGAAATGGCTTTCCTAAAGCATGGATCAGCTATATGGGGCTCTCAAGATGTCCCAAACTTTGTAACCAGCAGACATGGGGTCAAGCCACCGTTTTGGGGTTTGGGGAAAGTCGCTGACCTGAAATATTGTATATTGTATAGTATCCCTAACAGGTCAGCATGATAACAACCAATCAAGTCCAGCATCCTGCAGGCATCACAGGGAATGAAAGAGCCATTCCCAGGGCAAGAAAAGTGGTCATCATTACCATTTGTCCTCAATTACAATAAGCACTGTTTGAGCTGTTCCATGTGTCAGGCTCTGAGTTAGACATCTTAACTATTCTCACCACCATTCTAGGACAGAAGTATCTTCCCTCCACCCCGTTTAATGGATGAAAAAACTATACCGAAGAGAGGTTTAAAAAAATGCCCATGATCCAAGTAATTTATTCAACATTCTGACCAGAGCTGACTCAAAGCCCAAAGTGCACACTTTTCCCTCATGCTCTAACTTCTCTCATACATGGCTCCAGTGTCCCACCCTCCTCCCAAACCACAGCTTCTCTGGTACCTCCTCAGCCTCTTGGATGTAGTCCAGGTCCACCATAGCTCAGTTCATGTGTGACCTGGCCTCTTTTCTCTCTCCACTTCCATCCCTTCCTTCTCCAGTGCATTCCAACCACCCCAAACTGCTCAGTGTACACTAAACACACTGAGCTTCCCCCCACCTTCAGCTTCAGGCCTCCCCACATTTCTTTCTCTCAGATCCTATAGGTCCTTTGAGAACCAATGCAGGCACCCATCACCTGCCCTGGGACTTCTTTCTCAACCACTGAGACTGGCTTAGGTGCTCCTCATTCTGTTCCCATAGTACTTTGTGCCAAAGTCTCTTCTCTTCTGAACCACATTCTATTGTAGTATTTAACTTTTCACATTCTTTTTACCCTGATTTTTCTGTAAGCTAGTCAAAGGTAGTGGCTATATCTTTGTTATATTTTCACCCCTGAAGAGCCTGTCATGTAACATGAGCTCAAATATGTTTTATATTTGCCTAACAAAGTCACAAGCAAACTAAAGAGTGAGCAAAAACTCATATGAATATCTGAGTCACAGGTACTTGATGACACTCAGTTTAGAAGTTGAAGGCTCTCCAAACATGTATGTCCCCCTATGTGTGGCTTCACCTTTTTCGTTTTCCTCATTACCCACCAAGCTCTCACCAATCCCTGCTACCAATCAGTTGCTATCAGAGGAGTAGAATGCAACTGCTGGGAGATGGAGGTGGTCAGCAATGGTCTCCTTTGCCTTCTTGGCTCACCTTCAATGTGATTCCCTCAGGAATGCCTGAGTCGGTCAACCCTGCACCCAACTGCTGCCCAAAATACCATGAGAAATTACTGCCAAAGAAATTTGTGGCAGGATACAAAAAGGCCCTCAACTGCTACCTGCCAGCAATCGTGTAAGTAGATAATTCTGTGGAGATGGGAAAGGGAGTCAGGGCAGGAATAGGATGCACAAGATGAAGGAAGCTCATGCTAGAAGCCATGGGGTGGTGGCTAAGGGTTTAGGCTTTGAATCTCAAGGGCCTGGGTTGAATTCTTGATTTTACCTCTTACAGTTAGGAGGCCCAAATAAATGGCAGCCATAATGAGACTCAAGCCTGAGGTTCAGTCCATGTGTGACCTGGCCTCTTCTCTCTCTCCACTTCTATCCCTTCCTTCTCTCAGTGCATTCCAATCTGAGTGAGGAAGGAACTGAGAGGAGAGAAGTCTCAAGAGGCCAGAGAAGTGTGAGAGGACCCACAAGGGAAACCAAAGGGAGGCCTGTTGGTTACAGGGTTCATGTAAACTGGATCCCACCCTACTCCACAGCCCATGACAGTCTAACTCTGCCTCCACAGCTTTGTCACCAAAAAGAACCGAGAAGTCTGCACCAACCCTAATGACGAATGGGTCCAAGAGTACATCAAGGATCCCAACATACCTTTGTTGCCTTCTGGGGACCTGGCTCAGGTTAAAATAATCAAAACAAAGAAAAGCAAGCCCCAGCTCTTCAACTCCTCAAGAAGATCTGGCCTCAGCAGAAGCCCAAGTTTGGGGAAGAAAGAAGTAAACCTGTAAAAACACAGGCATGAAGTAGCATAGTCAAGATCAGAGACATAGGTCAATGATGAAAATAAAGGAAAAGCATTTTGAATTTTGTCTCAATCCTGGGAGAAAATGTCATAGTTAGAGAGGGTGGACAGAGACACATTCTTTCTTTCTCTCTTTCTTTCTTTTCTGGTGGTACTGGGGTTTCCTGCTCAAGACACACCTCCAACCGCAGTGACCCATTATTAATACAGAGAAAAGCACCTTTCATCTCCCTTGCCTTTCTCTCCTTTTAATTCCTCACATCCCGCCAATATAGTAGCTGTTCTAAATATTCCAGTTTCCAGCCGGCCAGACCATCTCTAGCCTCCAAGTCTTTTCTTGTTTTGTTTTTGGTGGTACTGAGGTTTGAACTCAGGGATAGTGGCAAGGCCTAGATTGTCACAGGAGCCAGAATAATATCAGTGTGTACACTCAAAGTAGTAGGAAGTTTCAAAGTCCTTAGCCAGCACTAAGGTCAACATCAGGGAACCAGGGTTCAAAGCCCTAAAGAACAGGAAGGGGCTAAAAACAGGAAGCACCAGTTCATGACTCTGGCAAGTTGGAACTGAAATGTCATTGTTTTTTTTTTTTTTTCCTGTCCATCAGAGGAGTTCAAGGTTACAATGTTAGTCTGAAAACCTAATTGAGACTCTATATTTGAAGTCAAATCCCAACTCAACACATAATACAAAGCTTGCCAGAAACTCCAAGCAGTTCAGAGCCAGAAGAACTTTTCATGGTTACATTCAATTGTTTCTAGACAGAACTACTCCTAGTCTTTCGCAGGTAGGTAGATGACACCTGACTTTAACACACACACACACACACACACACACACACACACACACACACACACACACACTTCCCCATTGTGATTCAGAGGGGTTTTCCAGCCCTAGTGTTGCATGAACGGCACAGAAAGTATGACTGACCAGCGAGAATAAGACTCAAACCCAGTGGTTGCAGTGGTTGGAGGAAAGGAAGGTTTATTATGCTAGCAGGCCAGCACCTGGATATCTCTGAAATAGCACAGGCCCTGAGCTCAGGATGGTTGAGGTTTTTATACTGAGAAAAGCAGCAGCAAGCAAGCAGGGAGTGCAGAAGAAGACTTGGCAGTTAGCTGTTCAAGGTTACGATATATCATGTCAGCACAACTGTGGATGAAGGCCATCCACAGTTTCTAAGGAGATAGCTGGATGCAGGGTCCCCAGCTAAGGGGAAGGGCTTTACCCGTCTTTGGTTCTTTTCCCAGCTTTGCTCTTTCTCTGGGTCTCCTTATCACTAGTCATCTTAAAATGAAGACCTTACCTACATAAACTTACTCCCAAACCCCTTGCCTGACCACCAGCCTTGTGGAATGAATACAGGTGACTAGAGAGAGTGGAATGTAAGAGTTGTATTAATGGATTTTTATCACTCGTGTGAAAGAAAGGGGTGGCTCTGGGTGAGTGAAGGCTATGAATAAAAACAAGGGGAACCACTTGGGATAGGAAGAGAAGAAAGTGAGAAAGCAAATCTAGGTAACAGAGTTGGTCATGTATCAATTCCCTATACCATGAGGATTTGGATCCAAAGACCGGCTGTCCCAAGGCTAGTTTTAGAAATGCTACAGCCTTTGAGATGGACCAGGTAAGCACATATTTCTTCCCCAGGAAAGTCCATGTGTGCATGCATATGTGTGAGCAATCACTGAGAGCTGCCAGCAGCCTGTGCTGGCACTTAGGGGACACAGTTTATAATCATTGGCTCCAAACTCAAATAGACAAATTGAATCCCAACTCTGCTACTTACTGTGAGACTCCTTTTAAGCCTCAGTTTCCTCATCTGTAAAACATATCAATAATGGTACCTACCTGTCAATGTTGAGAGGATTAAGAGGTGATATGAGAGAGTACTTAGCAGACAGTAAGTGCTCAACAGACAGGCCTCTCAGTCCATTACCTGACTTTCCCTCAGGACACAGAATATGGGTCAGGAAGGTGCTTTCTCTCATTGTGAAGATAAGAGAACCAGAGCCCAGAGAAGACAGTGTCTTGCCCCTGACACAGGAGCTGGAACAAGTATTACAAAAAAAAAAATGGAAAAAACTGTTACTCTCTTAAAAACTAAAACAAGAATCTCTCCTATGGATGAAACAACCATTGTCAAGAAAAATGCATTGGTAACCCCAGTTAAGGCAGGAAACTCCCCAGACAGGGCTGCAGACTAGGCCTGAGACCTCAGAGGAAGAGGTGAAATTTCTCTGAATGAACTAAGAGGAAGAACAGTTTTGCCCTTGGGAGCTGGGGGTAGGGGGAGCCACGGAAAAGGCTGCAGATTGTGCAGGAAGAGCACAGCCCCCAAAAGTTCCATAAATGCCTTGGTTCCTGGAATACCTGATGGGAGTGGTTTGGGGAATGTGAGGAGGGAGATAACTCCAGTGTACCATCCATGAATTATGTCCAGCATGAACAGAATTCAGTTTCTTCACAGGACTGAGAACGGCAAAGCAAGTCTTTGGGGATTCACAGACATCTTATGAAATCTTAGATTCTAGAACTAGAAAAATGAGAAGAATCCCAAACACCTCTCCAAATCCAGGAACATGGCTAGCTGGCTAGATTAGATCTGGTGGTGACAAAGGCCTTGCTAAGGAAATGACATGTGAACTGAGAGCTCAGTGCCTACAATGTATCAGCCATGAGAGGACCATGGGAAGAGAGAAATTTCCAGGCAGAGGGGACAACCAGTGCAGAAACTCTGGGGCAGGAACTAGCTTGGCATCAGGGCCAGGGTGGATGGAGCATTGAGGAGGAAGAGCAGCATGAGGTAGCAAGGAAGGCAAAAGCAGATCAAGTAGAAAAGCATTGTGAGCTAGAGTAAGGAGTGTGCAATTTATCTCATGAAAGACAGAAATCCACTGGAGATTTTTTTCAGCAATGAAATAAGATGATCTGATTTAAAGAAACAGTGGCTGCTATGCAGAGATGGGTCATTTAGGGTCTGTGGGCCCAGTTAGGACAGACCCCTTCTGAAACCCAGGCTACCAATAATGGTGGCTTGGACCAGGGAGGCAGAAGAGGAAGTAGAAAGTGAGCACACAGGGGAAATGTTTGAGGAATACAACTGGAAGACACACTGGGAACGACTTGGGCTTGAGCAACTCGGTGGATGTTGGTGCAATTCGTAGGAACAGGGAAGTCTGGAGGCAAGCATGCTATGGAACAGAATCAGTAGTTCTGTCTGTTCCTTTTTAACTTGAGGACGCTTGTTAGGTGGCCATGTGGCCATGTTGAATAGAGAGGGGGCTGTGTGAGTCTGCAGTGCCATAAAAGGTCAAACTGGAGATGGAAAGCCATGGACCATTGGGGACTATGAGGGAGGGTGAGGGTATATCAGGGCAGGAATTGCACAAAAGCAGAATGACATGTGGCCAGTGAGACAGCAAGAAAATCAAGAGAGGGTTAGCCCAGGAGCCAAAGGAAGAAATGAGGCAAGAAAGAGGGAATTAGCCAAATGCGATGAGTGCTGTCAAGAGGCAAAAGACGTATAGAGAAATGACCATTGGATTGGACCCATGAAGGTCACCAGCAACCTTTGGTGCCTTTTTTTTTTCTTTTTTTGCTGCAAAATAGATATTGAGACATTCATGATTGCAGTTCATATATGTTAAGTGTGTAGTACCATGCCCTGCTGTTTCCATACTCATGGGCACCATTTCTGGAGAAGCCAGCAGCTTCTTATTGGTTTAAAAAAAAAAAAAATCAGGTGACAATTCTCAGTTCCTGCATCATTGATTACAACAGAGAAGAAGAAGCTGGTAGAAAAGGAATCATTTCGTAAACAGAAGAATCAAGAAATGGTGCTCACTTCCACCCTTAGCACACTCTTGGAACATCCTCCTCCCTCCTCTGTTGCCTTCTGACCGAAGCAGTTTTCCCCCTGGAGACTCCTGGTTTCTCATCTGAACCACAGAACACAGATGACTTGAATGGCTTATTGTCTCAATTCTCCTAAGACTTCTAGAAGCACGGGACAGAAATGAATCTATTATATGCTGTGCATGGCTCAACCCTCATGAATCCAGCTGAGAAAAAAGCTGCTTTAGATGCAGAAACCACTTCTGATTTACACTTCTCCCATCCAGGGCTCTTCGCATCTGGCAGGCCTCATTAAACAGCTGTTCATGAACTTGACACAAAGGCTTGGGAATGTGTGTGGGGAAGGGATCCTTGTCATGGAGTCCTTTGACTGTGAGTCAGGGATCAGAGCAGAGATGTGACACCACAGAGATGGCATTTTAAGATGGGCCCTGGAGTATGGTACAGATTCAGAATTGCAGAAAAACAATTCTGAGAGGCCTTAACCTTAGAAAACTTGGTAGGCAGTGCCACCAAGTGGTTAAAAGCCACAATAACTAGTCTTTTTTATTCCATAGAAGGCTGTAGTGTTTTATAGACCAGCTCCCTGCTCGTCCCCATCTTCCCTCCTCTCCGTTTTCTTCCATTTTGCAGGGAGCCAAGGCTCTGAGTCCACACTGAGGACACAATAGATAAAGATTCTGCTTTCCTAGAGCTCTCCTTCTAGTGGAGGAGAGAGACCATACACAAACATACATAAACATCAGGTTCTATAAAGAATGCAGCAGTGTAAGTGTGATGGTGAAGACTGCAAAAGACAATTTTGTACTATTTGATAAAAACCTACCAAGAAAAGCAATTTTTAGTAAGGATCTTATTAAAATTCTTATTACACCATTTGTCCTAGATTCTGCTTTCCACACACAGAATTGAACATCTAACATACCTAACAAATGAATCATTCTATAGGTAAAAACTATAAACTCTGGCCAGGCACCACTGGCTCATGCCTAAAACCCTAGCTACTTGGGAGGCTAAAATTGGGAGGATCAAGGTTTGAGGCCAGCTTAGGCAAATAATTTGCAAGACCCCATCTCCAAAATAACCAGAGCAAAATGGCCTGGAGGTGTGGCTTGAGTGATAGAGCACCTGCTTTATAAGTGTGAAGTCCTGAGTTCAAACCCAGTTTCACTAAAAAAAAAACA